TTAAACCCAGCCTTATTAAGAAGATATCCCGAAACAAGATTCTTCCTTATCTCTGGAGTGTGCAACACATCCTTGAGCACCATCTTCTTCCCAGATGTGAAGTTCAGCTCCACTTCACCAGAACCAGCAACCATAGTGGTGTGAGTAGTCCCCAACAACACTTTCTTGTCAGCAGGTGCTTCTTCGTATGTTTTAAACATAGCACGATTGTTGCATACATGCTTCGATGCACCTGTATCCAGCCACCATCCTTCTGAGTCACCGGTGAGGTTAACTTCAGCGATCATATCTGTGATCATGGCTACCAAATCCTCTTCTGTCAAGTTAACCCTGGCCGCAACGGCGGGGTTATGCTTGTTCCTGCACTTTTTTGCCATATGACCCGGTTTTCCGCAGTTAAAGCAGATAAACGGTGGGTCATTCTTAGAGGTTTGGGCCATGACCCTTTGGTTACCTCGAGAGGCACCATTCTGGTGGGGGCGGACCTGCTGGTTCTTACCCTTAAACCCTTTCTGGTTAGGTTTAAGAGCTCTAGGGGTGGGTCGTTTAGCAGTGACGACCATCACCTCTTCTTTCATATCCTGCTTGCGGGACTCTTCCTCAATCCTTAGGCGAGTAATCAAACTTTCCAGTGAAAATTCTTTGGTTTTATGTCTAAGCATATTCTTAAAATCTTTCCACGAAGGGGGCAGCTTATCAATAATGCAAACAACTTGAAATTGATCGTCCAGAGGCATACCTTCAGAGACGATCTCGTGAGCTATTTTCTGAAGTTCGTGGGACTGAACTTCGACAGACTTGTCATCCACCATCTGATAGCGCAGGTAGCGGCTGACATCATACTTCTTAGCTCCAGCCTCCTCCGTGTCGTACTTCTTTTGGAGCGCATCCCAGACCATCATTGCGGTATTCTTGCTATCCGCATAGTAGTCGTAGAGGTCGTCTGCCAGGCCGTTGAGGATGTAGCCCTTGCATAGGAAGTCATGCTCCCTTTCCTTAGCAGCAGCAGTCCTCTCCTCATCAGTCGCTTCTTCCGGCAGCTCGACGGGCATGCTGGTGAGGCAGTGTGCCAACTTCTTGGTCGTCAGGTAGAACTCCATCTTTTGTCTCCAGCGACGGAAGTTGACTCCAACGAAGCGAAACGGTCGATTGATATCGACAGCACCAGATCCGGCCATGTTGTTCTGTTCAGTCGACATAGCAGCAGCCGAACGTCTTAAAATTGTTAGAAACGGAACAACAACAAGATGAGGATACCGAATCTGGAGCTGAGTCGCGGACTAGGTCGCTTTCTTTAAGACGTTCGCGGCACTAGGTATATAGTCTCAAGTGATCCGACCGAACGACCGACCGACCGGTCGGTCGGACGGACGGACGGACGGACGGCGCGCGCGTGTGGTGGTCCGTTAGGTCCTCCCTCTCCCACAAAAGTGGGTCACCCCAAGGGGCATGCCCTTAGGAGAGAGGCTCCTATCTTTATAATCACTTCACCAAGTAAAACTACCAATGTGGTAGTTTTTCCACTTGAGACTCTATAGCTTTCAAAGCTATTCATACACATTTCCAACATGCGGCGGTTCTCGAAGCGCCTGTCGGAGCTGGCCGCGTCGTTCGAGAGAGGGAGAAGTGTTTGAGCATTTCGGGTTGTTGTGGCGGCCATGATGGCTACGACGGCAAGTATTTTGACCGGAGAGGAGACTACAACAGCAAGTGGGAATAGGAAGAGGCGTCGGTAATGAATTCTCGATTAATTTGGTCATGTCATGTATGCATGTGGAATAACTCAGCCATATATATATGGTTTAGATCGTGTTCAATTTCTACATCATTTTTATGCTCTTTTTTTCCTTTGCAAAATTAAAGACCGATTATTGTTGAAAAGTTTATTATTTGTTCTATGAAAATTTGTATGGAGGCGTGGAAAATATATGGGTTTGTGGTGTGTATGGCAGCAATGATAAGAAATTGAGTGCATTGAAAGGCTTGAAGGTCTCAGAGGTAGTTGTTGTGATTCTGTTGAATCTCGTGACAAAGTTAGTCGTGTCGTTTTCAAAGAACCATACGATAAGGATGGCGCTTGAGGGGACGATGTTGCTAAAGAGTTGGTTTGTGATCTCGCTATAAGCTTAAGTGTGTGGGGGATGTTGTGATTATGTTGTAGTTTCGGCCTTGGGTTCATTAAGAGAAGTTGATGACCAATGACAATTCATACGTTAGACACACACATTCTCATGTTAATTGAAATGTGTTATCCTCTTATATATCCTTGATTTAGGTCACAAACTCAAATGAAGTATTGAAAGATGGCAAATGAAAAACCGAATTTCAATAAATGGTAGATGCGTAGCTAATTACCCTTATTTCTTGAGATGGTTACCTGAATAGATCTCATACTTCGTGATCATTTGGATCGGAAAGTTTGATACGAGGAATCTATGAAAGATTTGGGCCCAAATCCCTCACTAAAAAATCAAGATATTTTGAAGGAGTATTTGGGCGAAATTACTTGTTTGTTTAGCCATGTGAGATTTGGACTTAAATTATGAAAAGACAAATTTGCCCTATCTTCTTGCTCCTCCCTCGATCCTTCTTTCTTTATCCTTCGATCTTTCATTCTCGAGGCTGAAGCACTCCAACCCAGGAAAGTAGGCGACCATCATGAAACCCGCTACAATCCCCTTGCAAAACTTAACTGAGGATTATGCATGTCGGAAACAATAACAGGCTGGATCCCTCCAATCCCGCGGCTCTCGGCCCTACAAGGCTACAATGGATATCTAGACGACGAGGAAGCTGTAGAGATGGAGATTGAGACATCACTGCATCTGACAACAGTGGTGGGAATCCAAAATCAATTAGGGGATACAAGGAAGAGTTTCGAATTTCAGGGTCGTCGAAAGAAGAAAACAATGAAGCTGAAAAGGCTGCTAGGATGGAATAAGGATTGGAAGAAAAGGAGAAGGGATAGAGTTGGAAGGAACACAGAAATATAATAGAGATTTCAAAATAGTCGAGTGGATTAGCTATTTTGAAATTCTGCATGTGAGGGTTTTTCAATTCATACCGCTTTAAAAATCTCTCATTTTGTGAGCCCTTCCCAAACAAGAAAATTAGATACAAAATCCTGCAGAACGAGAGATCCGGACAAAAACCCCTCATAAAAACTCTCATCCAAACATTCGCATTAGTATCGGGTTTGGGTCTTTGCTTCTTTGGGTGAACCTATAATGCAAATTTAGTTCAAGAGGCAATTCTACTTAGAAATTCCTAATGTAGACGCGTTAGCGAACTTACTGAAGGGTAGGAATAATCAACTGAATCAAATTTTGGATGAATTATTTGAATGATTTATTTGGCTGAAATAACTCATTTGACAAGAATATTTCTTCGTGTATTATTTGGGGCTGTGATATTTGAAAATAACGCGAAATCTCGTTATAACAAATAATTTGGGAGGAGGGGGTGTCATTATTTCAGAATAACGCATTGAACAATCTTTAGGCAAACCTCGAAATTTGAAACTTCCAACATTGCAGGTCAATGTAACCCAAAAGTTATCCAAATGGAGTGGTAAAAACAGTATAAATTGATGACTGCCCAACTGTTGGACGACTAGATACACTATGAATTTTGGAAGTGAAACCTCATTCTGAGTTTAAACGGGTCCTCCTGAGCTTCCATATATTGCTTTATATTTTGTTGGGCAGGGAAAGTGAATCTATAGGGTCCTTATCTTCAAACTCAAATTAGGTTACTTTCTTCAGTTTTGCTTTGTGGTTCATCACTAAACCCCAAATAGAAACGAGTGCATGAAGAGGTTAGCTCCTCCATATCGAAATAAAATCAAGTGAAACATGTGTCGTGTTCATTCTTGTTTTTCGTTTTCTTATTTGGTCGAATTATCCTATTTCTCGATCCGTAGAGAAACAGTCGTGACATTTTCAATGTTCTTGACTTGTCTTCTGTGTGCTTGAATTAGTGTTGGCTTGTATGGCTAAGTTGTTTTTTCTTTTTTAATGAGTAAATCTTGACAATTCTTTTCTTTTCAGAATAGGGTGTCACTAGTGCGCTCATGCTCCGTCAATGGATTCTCGAGCTTCGTGATAAGTCGTGAATTTCCTATATGAAAGATTTTGGAACATGATGTACTTTTATAGCTTTGAATCGGATTTTTTTAGTACTTAGAATATCATGACCATAATACTTTCAGTTTGATTATGTTTGAATGTTATAATGATTAGTATTTAGTCATGTAAAGAACACCATTTTGGAAATGAACCATATATTTATGTTATGATTCAGGATATGAAAGGTATATGGTACATTATGAATTTCAGTAACGAACTTGATTTTGATTTGTTTATAGTGATCGGGGGCATTTGCAACCAAACTATAGCCACTAATCATATTGCTTCTATTTTGTAACAAACTTTAGCGGCAGTTTTGATTTCGACACAGATGTTGTCAAGTTTTAGTCCTAAATTATGCATGGATTTCACCCTCGCAAGCAGCATATCAAGGGTTTTAAACCATGCTAATTTAAGCAACGAACTTATCTAAGGGTTATAAACCATGCATGTTACCAACACCTCTCTACATAATTTTACATAGGTGCGTGTAGCATGGGTTCAAAACCCGTGCTAGATGTAGGAATGAATTATCCAAGGGCTCTCATCGATGCTACAGACAACTCTTTCGTAAATTTTGCACATACGTATAACAAAATTCAATCTAATATTTCCTGGTCATTGCTACCATACCCCACACACCCATATTCTCCTAACTTCCATACAAATAAACTTCTCATATCCGCATGAGAAATTTCAAAATAGCATCCCCTTTAAAACAATAATCGTTCTTAGCTTCACAAAATGTAAAAAAAAAAAAAAAAACAGTAGCAATTGGTAGGAAACCATGGTTGTTATTTCACACAAATTAATCAAATATGTAAACCAGAGTCGTCGTCTCAAGAATCCATAACCCAAGTCTCCGATAGTTAATTAGGCCCGCTTGCGATAGTCTCCTCTCCGGTCACCATCCTCGTCGTCGTCGTCATTATCATGGCCGCCGCAGCAATGACCCCAACAAACCGAAATGTTCAAACACGTCCTCTTCTCCGTCCTCTCGTAACGAACCTCAACCCTCATCCCCCGCCGCCCACCACCGCCGCTCCTCTGCCTCCCCAACGGCGGAGCGGGCCCCACCTGCCGGCCCACGTACATCCTGTCCAGCTTCGCGTTCATCTCCACCACCTGGGCCTCGATAGTCATCAGCCGGCCCATCACCACCCCGGGCCCAAAATCCACGCTCAGCAGCATCCCGAGCGACGCGTCGAGCCTCGTCAGGCGCTTGGAGAACCGCCGCTTCCGCCGGAGGTTCCACCACCGGATCCCGCCGCAGTCACGCACCAGCGCGTCGGCCTTCTCCAGCATCTCCCGCAGCTTCAGGGCCTCCCGGTGGGCCCCGGAATCCGGGTAGCGCGCGTCGATGGCGGCGAATCGACGGCTGAGCGGCTCGACCTTCCCGGCCAGGACGGCGAGCTTGGAGCGGAGCGTGGAGGCGCGTGTGAGGGAAGGGTGCATGTACAGCTTGATGGTGGTGTACAGCTCCTGGAAAACGAGCCCCAGAAGTGCTCCGCCCACGGGATCCATTAATGTTCGGTTTATTATGAATCTTGTACCACTCTCTAAGCGTGAATTAATTTCTCGATCTTAACTAACTTGGGTTTCTGTGTAAGATAGGTTGTTAATGGAGATTGAGGGGAAGCACTCTGTTTTCGAAGAATATATAGAGCTGTGTTGTTGAGTTGACCCTGTTTTGCAGTCAACTAGGCCACTTCCAGGCTTGAGTCTGCTGCCTGCTGTAGGTTCGTAGAAACTGACAAGAGCCATTTTTTTTCCAATAGCACTCTTGAGTCGTTTTCTGTTGAAAAAGTCCGAGAGTTGACCGTGGACAGAAGATTCAGATCATCCAGAATCATTAGTTAGTATCGGTTTGGATCGTTGGGTCAATATTTCCGAAGAAGAACGAGTTAGGATGTCAATTTTGCCCATACCCATGGGTTTTTAATTATCTAAACCAATTGGGTTGGGTATAAAATCCAAATAAATGGATATGGGTAGAGTTTGATGGGTTTGTACCCCATACCCATTTACTTTGGGTTGGGTTGGGTTTATAACAAATGGATTTGGGTTTGTACCCATGCCCAAATATAAATTACAGTTTGGTACCTAAACTTAATAGATATGCATATTTAGTACCTAAATTTAATTTTTTTTGCATATAAGTCCTCAAAATATCGATGGAAAATTACATTTTGGTACCTAAATTTTGTTGGTCTTACATTTTGGTACCTAAAATTTTCAAGTTTTACAAATAGGTCCAATTTTTGCATGTGTAGTTAAAACAGCCTCAAGTAAATGGATATCTATATCCAACCCATACCCATTTAGATTATGGAAGCAATATTCATACCTTACTCAAACCCATATGCACTTCACCCATACCCAACCCATTATCAATGGGTCTACTTGGATTTTGGTATAATTACCCATGGGTGGGTAATTGCCATCCCTAAGAACGAGGACAGCGAGCAAGGTAATTTTAATGGACTTATCACATGTGGAGAATAGGATCAATAGTCTTCTGATTCGGGCCCAAATGTACACATTTTACCCCTCATTTTTTATTCGATTAGCTTAATATTTCATCGTTCCTCGACATATTTCACGCTAGGTTGTGCTTGTTTTGATACATTTCAGGTCCTAGCATGTGTGGAAGGGTCGAGGACGAGTTTTGGGATAATTGGAGGTCAAAAAGCGCAAAAACCGAAGAAAAGTCCGACCGTGACAGTTGCCCCGTAACAGTGAAGTGCAGGCGTCCAGGAAACAGCCGCAGTTCACGGTCAAACAAGGGAGTTCACGGTCTTAGGACGCCAAGGGAGTTCACGGTCGCTAAGACCGTGAACTGGGACCATTAACCGTGAACCCATGAGAGGGAAGCGGTGCGCTTTGGAGATGACTAAGTTCACGGACGCGTTTAGGTATTCACGGTCGTGAACTGACCAACGCGTCCGTGAACTGGTCACTTTCGGGTAAATATGAAGATAGCAGCGGGGAGAGAGAAAATGGGAGCTGATTTTTGGAGATAAATTCAATTCCCTCTCTAGGGTTTGCCCAAAAACACCAAAGGAGAGTTCTAGTGAGAGAGAGAGAGAGAGAGAGAGAGAGAGAGTGTGTGTGTGTGTGTGTTAAAGTGATCTTGGAGCATCATTGGAGGCTTGGGTGAATCTTGAAGACAAGGATTCAAGCCTAGAAGAAAAAGAAGAAGATCTTGAGCTCAAATTTGTAATCCATCTCTTCTCTCTCTAGAAACTCACTCTTTTCTCTTGGATGTTGTAGATCTCTAACTAATACTTTGTAATTACTTGTTTAGATTGAATGATTTTGTATGGGTTTGCATCAATTTGAGTATTAGAGGTGTTTTCATGGTGAATCATGATTGTGCTTAGTTGTGCTTTCCAAATCTTGTGTGCTTGCTTAACCTAGATTAGAGGAAAACCACACCTTTTCAGTTTGGCTTGACAAGCTTGGTTTTCCTTGGCACTTTGTGCCTACTATCTAGGTTAGAGATGAGCATGCCCCTTGAATCAAGTTTGCATATAGGTTGGTCGTGATTAAGCCGCTCAAACACCGGTTTGAGGGAGAGACCTAGGCAACCCCTAGAGATTGAGTGAGAGGATCGATTCGGTGAAAAATCGATCTCTAGTGAATCCATCCCCTGACAAATGGATCACTAGTTGCTCCTCCTAGTGGTTCCCCTAGACGTCGTGAGTGGATCAATTCTGTGACAAATCGATCGCTAGTGAATTGATTCCGTGACAAATCGATCACTAGTTGCTCACCCTCGCGGTTCACAACCACCTACACCACACGACTCCATTCAATCCAACGAGTCGTGGTAGCTAGTTAGGGGGAAGCAACCCCTGGGTGAAGCTCCCTTAGTTAGAATTTTCCTTTATTTACTTTTCTTTGCTTGTTTAGTTTGTAGTTCCATTAGATAACAACCTAAGTGATTGAAGTAGAGGTACATGGATCGGCTCGGGTTGATAATTAAAACTGACTTGCCCTATGCTGCACCCCTCTAGAGTTTAAGAACTTGGGCTCTAGAGGGGGTTTCTAGTGTGGTGTTTTGTGTGAGTCAAGTTTTTGGCTCCGTTGCCGGGGAACCATTCTAGGTTATTTGAAAAAGGGTTAGGTCGTTAATTAGCCGTTTTGTGTTGTGTTTTGTTTACCCACTCTTCTCAGAAGGGTGGTTTGTGTTTGTTTGATTTTGTCTACAATAGGTGGGGGTATCCACAACCACCCGAATGGGGGTACCGCGGAGCTTCATGGAGTGAACAAGAAGGGGGAAGCCAAGGATACAGGTTCTATCACCAACCCCCCTTCCAAGAAGAACAACCATACCATTGGGGGTATGAAGAGGCTTCCCCATACCAAGAAGATTTCCCTCCACCACCCGAGGAGAAATCCAAGTTGGAGTTGGCCATGGAAGCCTTCATGGGACGATCATCAAGACCATGTGCCACTTCAAAACCGGAGCCAAAGAGAAACTGGGAGCTCATGATGGAGAAATTTGCCCGGGGTACCGACGAGGGATGCTCCAATTTGGACCTTCCCATCACCGGCCCTATCGACTCAACCTTTCTTCGGGAATCAGAGGAGCTCCTTCGACGGACGTAGAGGTAAGGAGAGCTTATTGAACAAGCATGTGCACAACTTGCTCACAATCGCCTCCTGCCATTTGAAGAAGAGAAAGAGGAGGTTGAAGAGGCAAGCCATGAGACCTTTGGAAGAATGAGCTCCCACATGGATTTCCAACCCCTCCCTCCTCCCGGTTTGACACTAGAAGAGAAAGTGGCACGAGCTTGTGAAAGCTATCGCCTCTCATTGTTGGAGGAGAAAGAGGAGGTTGAAGGAGCGATCAATCACAACCATGTGGAGCAAGACGAGCTCACCCCGGAGAGCTCCCGTGGTGAGTATGAACAAGAAGGTTTTATTGATTGACTCTCATCACTTTCCCCTTCCCGAGACCAACTTTGAAGACCAAGTCACGAGTGCGGAGGAGCAAGGTAACCCTTTCTATGATCTTGCATGGCATCTTGCCCACCAAAATAGAATGAAAATGATATTTCAGAAAAATCGCCCGAAATCTGTTATGGAACCCCTTCGGAATCTGCCAAAAACTGACCCAGAATAAATCCGCCAAAATTGGTGCTTAATGGACTGAATCATCATTAAATAATAGCCTCAGGCCGAATCCGTGATCTGTAGCCTTCATAATCCAAAGAAAATGGACTTTCGCCGCCCAAAAAATTACAAAGTTGTTATCGGAAAATAAATTGGCTCAAATTGGTGCTTAATGGACTTATCAACCGTGGAGAATAAGATCAATAGACTTCATTATTCGTGAAGAATAGCCTCGATTTGAATCTGTGATCTGTAGCCTCCAGAATCGAAAGAAATTGGCATTTCAAAAAAATCGTCCGAAATTTGTGATGGTACCCCTTTGAAATCTTCCAAAAATTGATCTAGGATAAATCCGCCCAAATAGGTGCTTAATGGACTTAATCATCGTTGAAGAATAGCCTCATGCCAAATCTGTGATCTGTAGCCATCAAAAGCCAAAGAAAATGGACTTTTGGCACCCAAAAAATTATAAAAATGTCATCCGAAAATAAATTGGCCCAAATTGGTGCTTAATGTATTTATCAACCGTGGAGAATAACATCAATAGACATCATTATCGGTGGAGAATAGCCTCGGCCTGAATCCTTGATCTGTAGCCTCCAGAATCGAAAGAAAATGACATTTCGGAAAAATCGTCCGAAATCTGTTAAGGTACCCCTTTGAAATCTGCCAAAAATTGACTCGAAATAAATCCGCCCAAATCGGTGCTTAATTGACTTAATCATCGTTAAAGAATAGCCTTATGCCGAATCCGTGACCTTTAGCCTCCAAAATCCAAAGAAAATGACATTTCGTCGCCCAAAAAATTACGAAATGCCATCCAAAAATAAATTGGCCCGAATCGGTGCTTAATGGACTTATCACCCGTGGAGAATAGTATCAATTGATTCATTATCCGTGGAGAATAGCCTCGGCCTGAATCCGTGATATGTAGCCTCCAGAATCGAAAGAAAATGGCATTTCGGAAAAATCGTCTGAAATATGTTATGGTACCCCTTTGAAATCTGCCAAAAATTGACTCGAAATAAATCTGCCCAAGTCGGTGCTTAATGGACTTAATCATCATTAAAGAATAGCCTCGGGTCGAATCTGTTATCTGTAGCCTTCAAAATCCAAAGAAAATGGCCTCTCGCCGCCAAAAAAATTACGAAATGCCATCCGAAAATAAATTGGAAACCGGTGCTTAATGGACTAATCACCCATGGAGAATCAGATCAATAGACTTCTTTATCGGTAGAGAATAGTCTCTGCCTGAATCCGTGATCTGTAGCCTAGAGAATCGAATGAAAATTACATTCCGGAATAATCGTCGGAAGTATCTGATGGTAACCCTTTGGAATCTGCCAAAAGTTTACCCGAAATAAATCCGCCCAAATCGGTGCTTAATGGACTTAATCATTGTT